TCTATGTGTATGCAATCATCCCAAGGTCAAGGGAAAACAAGAATAAAAAATCTCTTCTTTCTTTCTTTATTTGTGTGTGGTTGCTTATGTTAAATTAGACCACAGATGAAGAGAAAACCTGATATTCTGCTTCCACTGGAATGCAATCCAGGGAATATGGTTGTTGCAGACGAGCAATAATTCGATCCTGCCAAAATAATGAAGAGGGGAAACATAGTCAGAAAAATAAATAGAGTCATCTTTTTTTTTTGATAGGAATTGAAGGCCTCATTAAAAAACCCCTTCTTGATTAAGGAACTCAGAATGAGTTCCTTCATCAGAGGAAGGAGGAAAAGAGTGCCTTATACTTCATTAATGAAATACATAAGATTACAACATGAAGATAAGTCCCTTACAAAAACTCCTAAAAACCCAAAATAAAATACCACTAAAACATACTGAAATTATCCAATGGCAGATTTAGCCAACCCATCAGCCTCTATATTGGCTGTCCTAGCGACCCATCTAATAACACCCTCAACATCTTTAAGCTTAACTGCTATATCCCTGACAATGAAGACAAAAAAATGAGGACACAAAGTTCCATTCCTAATCCAATCAACTGCCAATTTACAGTCTGATTCTAATATCAACCGACCATTAACATCTCCTCTCACTGACTTAAAGAAAAGTAAGCCCTTCTGAATAGCCTTTAACTCAAAATAGGTGGACCCGAACCAGTAGCCTCCTTAAAAGATCCTACAAGAAGACCTTCCTCATCTCTTAGAATACCCGCAACTCTACTGCTCTTCCAATCACAACTTATAGCTGCATCCACATTCAATTTTACAAAGCCCTTAGGAGGGGGGGACCAAGGAATTGTAGAAACAATCGATTTGTTGAGTGGGAAGCATGAATCCCCTAGGGAAGGGTCACCGATTAGAGAATCCATAGAAATAACAGAATCTGCAAACTTAGCTAAAAACCAAGATGCAAGCCGTACTCTTGCTAAGAAAAACAGGTTAGGTTGGTCAATCTTCCCTCTATCGAATACAATATCATTTCTAGCTTTCCAAACAGTCCAAATGACAACGGCAGGAATAAACTTCCAAATAGCAGACCTAGGATTTAGATCTTCCCAAGCTTGGAGGAACTTCTGCGCATTCTCTTGAAGAACCACATTAAGACTCCAATACTGCACAAATTTGTTCCAAAGTGACCACACGACAGAACAAGAGAAAAATAAATGAGAAGAAGATTCATCCACCAAATTACATAAAGGACAAGAAAGTTCTACAATTCCCGTAACCCCTCTCTTAACCAGTTCAGACCTCACTGGCAGTTTTTGAAGAACTACCTGCCACATAAATAACTCAACTCTTGGTGGCACCAAACCTTTCCACACAATATTCTTCCAAAAAGAATCCTCCTTTTGAGCCAAGGAACAAGTCTTCATACATGAGTTTACAGAATAAACACCCGTTCCGTTTCCTTTCCATATCAGACCATCATAAACTATGGACAAATTTCAGATTTCTGTTTCCAAAACAAATTTATTGGGACAAAATAGATAAGCAAATGACATGGTCCTCAAAAGGGTATCAATACTAACAGGTCGTGTGGTCTGAATTCCCCAAAATATAAATAACAAAGCCTTCCAGGATCACCAGTAAATGACGTAAGTGCCTTTCTATAGTTCTATTATTGTTTATAGCAACTATCAACATTTAGATAAGAAGTTTGACAGTTAAATTTGGTCAGGGTCATGGGAGTTATTAAACCACACATAAAACTTAATAAGAATGGAAATAAAATCTCACACATGACAAAGTAAAATGATTAAAAGGAATTGCTTCTGAAAGTAGTGGAGCAGAGAAAATTCAAACCACGCGTAAAATCAAAGTCATGCTCTGCCTATATGAGTGTATACCTATAAAACTCATCAGAAAGACTATCATGGGGCAATCCAAACAGTAGCGTGCTAAAGTAGACAATAAGAAAACCTGAAATTACCTTATTTTGAATAACATCTTTCAATATAGTAGTAATCCTCGCCAGTGTTTCACACTTCTTTTCCATTTCACTCACGTGTGTAAGGTGTGCAACATTTTTATCATCCTATAAATACCATCAAAGGGACAGTTAAAACAAATAGCAGACATGCGGGTAAAAAACTTGCACTGTACTCGTCGGCGACATTAAATTAACAAACATACATTGTTTTAACAAAATGCTTTAATCGGCAATAAAGTATTTTAAATATATACTAAAAATGGAGTAAAATTTAAATAAACATATTATGCTACTGAGGTGTTAGTGTGTTTTCTATTTATTTGTTTCTGTTTTACACAAACAAGACAGTAACTGAACTTCTCTTTTGTTTCATTTTTAATAATAAATCCAACCCTCTTAAATACTGAGTTTAATTTCTCCTGGTCAACTGTAAATCCGCAATACTATTCGAAAGTCCCAAACAGTAAACCTTACAAGAAGTACGGAAGCGGTGTGGTAAATAAACCGGGAAGCTTACCTTTCGGCCTTGGAGTTCAACTTGCAAATCTGCTATTTTTCTCTGTACAGTAGTTAGCTCTCTTAATACCTTTATCAAGTCATCACCCTTTTCTCCAGTAACAGAAGATAAGTTTTGCACGTCTTCCTATAGAAGAAAAACAACATTATCTGTGATGCGATTTCAACATATCCATCCATCAATTTTCTAGCTTTACCATAAACTTGTAGATTCAACATGTATAGCTGATCATCATACACTAGAGTGAAGAAAATGCCAATAGAAAGATTTACAATTATAAGAAAAAGGAACAAATGATTTTGGGAAACCTATCCAACATATCTATATATTCAAACAAATTTGAACACTAATGGTTCCATAGATAACAATGTACAAACCATTTATTCAACACAACTAAAGAACAAAATACTCGAGATATAGGTTAGACGCAATATATCTGAGCTTCAATTGATCTGTCATGTTAGTTGACTACCAAAACCTCTACGTCTTAAATGGTTAAATGAAAATCTGAGGCTTCAGCTGGGGCTCGGGAACCCTAAATTTACGATTCCAGCAAAGAGATCATATGGTTTTGAAGATTAAATTCTTCTTAATTGGACATTAAAAGGGGGAGAAGGAATAATGCTAAACCATTTCAGCATAAGCATCAAAAACCCAAATTCATTTCGCAAACTGCAGCAAGGAACGATGATATATCATTCAATTGCTTAGCATAAAGGATCGGGATAACAGAACACGAACATTCACAAGAAACTAGTGTCGTTTGAGAGTTTCAGATTTGCAGAATTTGAGTGTTTGGACTTATAATATCCGTTAACAAAAATCAACCTAAAAAAAGAAGATTATTGACGCGAAGCAAATGAAAATGAATGAAAGAAAATAGGAGAACCTGAGAAGGAGGAGGGAGAACAGAGAAACCAAGATCGGCAGCAATGGATAGAGCATCGGACATTCCTCCGATGCGCCTATATGGCTTCTTCCCGACCCATGTCGTATCGGTCGACATTTCACGCCCAAACGCTGCCTTTTATTGTGTCTCGCAAGATCTGAAAGTACTTCCAAAATACTATAACGAGAACCGAAAGTTGTAATTTGAACCGACGGGTAGTCCCCAGATTTGCCTGGCCGGTCTCTGCCTATACTTCACTGTTTTTCAACTTTTACCTTATTTGAATCTGAATTAACCCCTTTAAAATTAAAGAATATAATTATTTCTTTAAAAAATATTATTATTATTGTTTTGTTTTCCTCCGATTTTCAAGGTTTCGTATTAATTAATTTGGATCGACTCAAGTCAAACACCTGTTTTTAGTGGATGAGTTTCTCAACGGGATTTTCTGCATACCCAATGACTCGAATAGTCAAACATGATACCTTAAAATGTTAGATCTTGAAGGATTTGATTTTTTGTGTTCAGGGATGTAGTTTGATTCAAATTTAATGAATTTCGATCCAATCTAATATAATATAATTGATATTTTAAAAAAATATTAAATTCAAGTTAGGTTTTATAAAAGTTAGAGCTGCATCAGATCAAATTCAAACTTGAAATGAAAAATCTTCTACACTTGAGATAATAGTATAATTTTGTATATATTTAAAAATAATTATTATAATATTCACATTTTTTCTATTAGGTTCTTATTTTAATAAATAAACTTTTTTAATATTTATATCAGACCAGATTAAATAATTACGAATTTTTAATTTAAAATTTAAAGTAAATTTTAAATAAAATAAAATATTTTTGAACTCAGACAAAATTAGATTCAAATAAATAAAATATATTTCTTACATTATATCAAATTGATTGAAAATTCAATCCAATCCGATACATTTTAATGACATTAACCCAGCATGAGTAAAGAATAAAATACTGATTAAATCAATTTAAGAATATTTTTTTTTAAACATAGGAAAACGTTGTCGTAGAGGTTGTATCACCTACAACAAGCATTTTGGGCCTATTAATAGCAAACGTGAAGCTCCCTTCGGCTTTGTTTCCAATCAGCAACCTAAGCCCAAGTTAACAAACTTAACCCCTGAATTCCAGGCTCCATGTCTCTATAAAATCCAATTTAGAGATCTAGGGTTTCAACTCCACTGCTCTCTATAAATTCCTACCCAAATTACTCTCTCATACGAAACATGTAACTGCGGACGGCGGTGCTCCTTTGTTTCCCTTTCTTTTCCCTGTTTTTGGTTTTAAATGCTCATCTGACTTCGAATCCCAATGAGGAAGAATTCCCATAGATAGGAAGTGCCGTATGACATTTTAATCAGCAGTGACAACACGCTAAGGAATGCCTCCGTCTTCCCATCCGCCAATCCTCAGCCCCTCTGATTCTTGTTCTTAGGTGCTTTGTTTTTGGCCGGGAAATCGGGGCTTCCTCGAGGCTTGTTATCCTGTGTGAGTGATTTGAAACGGGTCTCTGAGGGTTTATTCTTGGTTTTTTTATTAATCATGTTTTTTTTTTCCTTCTCTTTAGAGTGTTTGGTCCGATGCCACGTCGCCGGTAGCCAAGAGCTTTGACCGGCGATGCTATGATTGGACCGAGATAAATTCCATGTTTCGCTTGCTGATAGGAACCTGTGGATCTGATTCACTGTGATCTACGGAGCCGTTTTCGGCGATTACATTCTTTTTATCATATTGGCAAATGGATTTGTTGAAGCCAATGAAGATTTGTTTTTATAGTTGGAATTACCGACTGAATTTTCATATATTTTGATGTCAATTTTAGTGGCTGTCCGAGGCTTCATATAATCTGTTTGATATTTCCTTTCTTTGCTTTTATAATTGAAATTTAAGATATACTTGTTTTGGAATAAAATTTTGTATAAATTATGTATTTATTGCTTAATTTATGTCTATTTCACTAAGACCTAATTTTTTAATCTTTTTTAAAACATAAAATTAATTTTTTAATGGTTACTAAAATTAAATAAATAAATTTTCGGTATGAAGTTTTGAAAAAAAATTAAATGTTTGGATACTAAAATGGATAAAAAGTAATAGTTTAAGTACTAAATGTGTGATTTATCCTTAAATTTAGGTTCTTAAATCTGAATCTAGCAAGATTAATATGCTGTATGAAAGTTCCGGCATGATGAAACTGTCTCACAAGAATGTGAGCTAAAATTTGTTAATAGTATAGGCTGTCCAACTCTGCTTGACAATAAATATGAGAATGTCAAGGCCATCTTACAGATGCAGCCTCGAACAAAGAAATGGATTTAGCTTCCATCAGACAAAAACCCAATGAAAACTTGAGGTTTTATCAAACAAAATGTGAGAAAAAGAACTTCGTCTCGTTCCCCTGAACATAAAGACTAGCACTCCTCAATATGTTTGCAGTTACCAAAAAAACATACACTCTAAATTGGTGAATAATATGACAGTTTATCATCAAACAAGTTAACCTGTTAAGTTAAATTTAACGAAACAGAACATCAAAGTTAATGAAGTTAACATAATAGTAAATTTAACCTCTTTACTTTAGTTCTAAAAAATAACTTGATATGAATTCAATCCATCTTATTTCCTATTTCTCTTACCACTTAAATTAAGTTACATTCTAGAGAGCTCTAGATGCACTTTGTCCACGCCGTTTTCCGCTTGGACGGAGGAAAACTTAGTACGACTTGGGGGTTTTCTTTTGAAAAGATTTTTAAATGTTTTAGAGTCGTCATCGACCTTTTGGGTTAGGAAGGTTGAATATCTAAAAAATTTCTTTTAAAAGAGTTTTTAATAAAACACAATTTTAAAAGATAAATTAGTCTACGTGTAACCAAAAATTCATTTTTTTTCAAAAAATAATAAAAAAGGTTTAGGGATCGATTACATGTGTAGAAGGATAAACACCACACAACGCCCAAAATTAGTACTCCATCGATTATAAATTTTCTCTAATAGTGGAAATCTAAAAATTCAAATATAAATTTAAGTTACTATCCTATTATTCCATATTCAATCATACAATTTTTATTTAATGAAAAATTCTAAAGAGAAATGAAAAATATTCTAATATTTACAATCGAAGAGAAAATAATTCCTAAAATAATTTAGGACGAATATTTATCTTTTACAACTGAAATAAAAAGAATATTATAACTTCTCCCAAGAATTCTAGATTAAACAATTTGATTTGACCAAAATAAGAAATTAAGGCAATTAACCCAAATTGTATTAATCATGCTAGATAATGATAGTTTAAACTAAAATGGTCAAAGTATAAACACAATAAAAATCAGAGGCCCAAAAATAATTATCACACAAATATAAGTGCTGTAAATAAATAAAATCATATCATAACAAAAGGACCAAAATGCAAGACAACAAAATAAAAGCATTCAATGTGATAAAAAATGAAACATGCATATATACTCATGAATACATATTAGGGACATGAGTGATAATTTACAAACATGATGAATTAGAATACAAATAAAATACAATCATAAATATTAAATAAGGACCAAATAGCAAGAACATCAAATTTTAGAGGTCTAATAATAAACATATAAAAAGTCATAGCTAATATACAAATATCACATAACATGAGTATTAAAACAAACTAAAATTAAATTGCAAACCCTATTGTGCAATAATTACAGGAGTGAAATTAAATTGATGAATAATATGTGAACAAAATATAATAAAACAAAAAAAATAGTAGCCAAATCAGAATAAAAAAGTGAGTACAATAAATAAATTACAAATATCACATTCAAATCACAATAAAATAAAAACAAAATCCAAACAGTGACTAAAATGAATAAACATAAAAAACAATGACTAAATTCGAAAATTAATAAAATTAATATGCATATTATAAATAAATAACAATGTTAATGACCAGAGTGCAAAAGAAATTAAAATATGAGGAGCTTAAAGATGATTTTACCCTGATAGAGACCAAAACGTAAAACATGTTGAAATTGGAGGATCTGGACTGCAGTTTGACCCTTAAACACAAAGCACGACCAAATAAAGCCCAGAAGACGGCTTAAACGGGCGAGAACCTTTCTCGTTATCCTCCTCTCCCATTCTTTCTCTTCACAACGCCCAGGGATGTAAAACCGACCCCCAACGCCGGCCACCAAGACATTGTGACCCCCTCACTCCCTCACGATCATCTTCAACCGGCCGGTGAAGATCTAGACGACATAAACGACCATCACCCCTCGCTCATCACTCACACAATCAAAACCCCAAAAACCACCCTCCTACCATAGACCTCTCGGTCGAAACTCCCTATCCTTCGCCGATCACCAACAACCGAGTTTCCTAGTCGTGAGAGGGTCTCACTTGCACGCCGTCCACTGCTCAACGGTGGCCACTCCCTCTGCCCGTGAACCCCCACGAAAAACCAAAACAAAACCAAAAGAGAAAGCTAGATAAGAAAACAAAAACTGCCAATTTTGGTTTTTTTTTTAAAAAAATTAAACCAAACGACGTCGTTTGTTAAACGAGTCAAGTCGAACTCGGGTATTGCTGAGCTCGACTCGAGCTTGAAAACTTTAAAAGTAAGCTCAACTCGACTCAAACTCACGAGCTAAAAATTATCAAGCTCAACTCAAACTCGAAATATAATATTGAAACTTGAACTCAAAAAACCTTGAACTCAAGAAAAAAATTAGAAGTTCGATTGAAGCCTAAAATTCGAGCTTGATTGAAGTGAAAGAATAGTTCATTTAATGCTCACCAAAAGGCTCCATGATTTTGAATGTCAAATTACCTCTATTATTTATAGAAGTTAGTTGTGATGTTCTTCTATGTTTCTTAGCCATGTGAGATTGTTTTATTCTCATATTTTTATTCTTTAAACTTTTGGGATGCTCTTCTATGTTTCTTACCATATGAGATTGTTTTTTTTTAAAAATTAAGCCAAACAATATCATTTTGTTATGATTTTTTTAGCCCTAAATTTATTTTTTAATTATAGTTATATAATTATATTTATTATTTAATATGTTTTACCTTAAATATTATGTTGTAGTTAATTTGAATAATTTTGTTTCACTTGATTTTATGGTTTTTAACTTATATATGTTATGATTTGCTTTGAATATGACTTGTGATATAAAAAATTATTTTTTATTAAATATTTTTGATATTTTTATTTAATTTTTTAAATAATTATGACATCGTCCGGTTATTCCGACCGGTCGGAACCGGTTCGACCGATTGAACCAGTGAACCGGTAGTATAGTCGGTTCGCTAACCAGTCCGATTCTGAAAACCATGACCCCAACAACTACAATATTTATAATCTTTTTTTTATTTTTTAATAATAAAATAATACAAGTAAAAAATGGTGATTACACACTCAAAATTAATGTAAAATGTTGAAGCCACAATTAAATATTGATAGGAGTCGAAATATTAGAATATTTAAGAAAAATGTAAAGATTTATTAGGTATTTAAACTCGAAATTCAGTATGAACAAGCGATCTTAGTGATTAAGAGGATTATTGTTATCCTTGAGGTCCCAAGTCTTTGTACAAACGTTCATTGTCAAATAATTTAAAGTCTTTATATATATATATTATCTTGTATTCACCTTAAATTTATAATAAAAAACTCAAAATTCCCAAGAAAACTTCTAATTTGTCTAATATTTATACCTACAATGACCTAGATTATAAGTAGACTAAAATTTTGAAAACACGTACTTATCATTATTTAGTTCGACCACCACTTGATTAAATATTTAATAAAACTTTTATATTTTTTAAATTTAAATATTTATTTTTACATAAATCAAAATACTATTAAACTTAAATTATATCAAATATATAAATTTTAACATAGGAGAGCTCCGTCCCTGAATGTACGCCACTTTTATGAAGAAATATACTTGCACTTTTCTTCAATTGTTCAACTGTTTTTTTTTTTGACATAATTGTTCAACCATTTAATGTGAGAGGTTGATTGTTGTGCCTAATGGTAAAGATTTGTGGGTTACTTTTTTAATCTCATTTGAAGAACCATATTTTCACTTGCGAAATGATTCTTTACACTTGGGGTTAAATCTATGCTTTTAATGAAACGGTGTATATTATTACATGTTTTTTATTTCTGTTTTAAAGAAATTATAATTATATGCTTTATAATAAAAAGATTATTTATTAAACGGTAAACATGCTTCAGCGTGAGCATGGTGGCGCTGACGTGTCGTTCTGTTCATTTCCCATTGTCACAACAAAAAGTGAATTAATTACTAATTTGTCTATTTTCCCCGACCTCGCCCGGATCTTCTCTTTCAACAGTCCTTTCTATCTCCCAGTTGTTAGGGTTTGTTTCCGTCTCCCTTCCCCTCTCGTTTGATTCCTTCAGTTTCATCCCTTCAATTCTCACTTCATTACACCGTTTTGAAACAAAATTAGCCTCCAAAAATCTAATCTTCCTCGCATTTCCATTCACATTCCTTGTTCACACACACACACACACACAAAAAGAGGAACCCTTTTCATGGCCAAGACCAAACCTGGCAAGAAGGACCTTGATTCCTACACTATTAAAGGCACCAACAAAGTTGTTCGTCGTATGTTTCTCGCTAAACCCATCTTTTTTGCTTTCCTTCTACGTTTCAAAGAGAACCCAAATTTCTTATCCTTGAAAGGTCTTTTCAAACCCACAAATGTTTTTGGCTTTTGATATTTGGTTTGTTTTGCAGCTGGTGATTTTGTGCTGATGAGAC